GTAATATGAAAGTTACAGATGAGCTACGCTAGCCCAGCAATTCCATTTCCAGGAATGTGTAAGACAGGTGCATGACAGGTAGGGACATGCCCAAGGTTATTCTTTGCAGCATGGTTTGTAATAGCTAAATTGAAAAATAAGCAAATGATCTGGAAACAACCAGATTTCAAGCAGTTGGAGATTGGCCCAGTTAATGTGATAAATGCACACAGGGAATGTTACACAGTAGCTGGAAAGAGTGAGGGGGCTCATCTGATACAGAAATCTCTGGGCTAAGTGAGAAAAAATAGGAGGAACATATGTTTGTATCTCTATTTACCCTTTTGTATATTTTGATCATCAACTATGTGGATGTTCAACCCTAAACTTATTTTACAAATTCATATTATAAAAATGTTCTAGAATAATTCATTGTCATTGCAAATTTCACAGCCTAATAATGTTAAGTAAAAGAAATCAGGTTACAAAATTACATGTACAGTGTGGGTCTGGTTTCCTGTATCCTTATAGACAGGTAAAGGCATTGAAAAAAGTATTTTTCTCCTGTTTGAACCTTTCTGTATTTTCCAAACTCCCTACTGATAGTATATTTCTCTTTTATAATCAGATGAATAATTTATTTCCAACAGCGTGTAAGTATATCATATGTTCAATTGTAAACTAATTGTTGATTTTGTGGAAATTCTATAATTGAAGCACCTTTTCTTTGATGAGTTAGACGTTTTTAATCGTATGGTACAGAGCTGGGTACTGAATTTTTCTTACCCTCTAAGACCAGGGTCTGGATTACTGGGGAAGTGTGCAGCGGCTGGGCCCCGTGTGTGAAGCCGTCCATTCCCATTTCCTGGCTCTGGACAAGGCGCAGTTCGAAACTCGATATGCACCCTGGCTCCAGTGGACAAGTTTCCCAGAGGTTTGGCCGTTGAATAACCTTTAGGAATAAAAGACTTTGCAAATACTACTTATAGCCCTTATTACTTGCCAGTTTTAAAGAAGACTCCTCCATCCATAGGCGTTCCTTCTAACTGTGAAGAAATCTTGAGGCTTGCAAGAGAAACCTGAGCTATTAATCATAGTCTCCAAAGCCTGAGCTGAGAAACGTGCCCATTTGAACAAAGGCGGTTTTTGGATTCAGTGTCAGAGGATTAGGGGTTGGAGAGGTAGCATTCCGTCCATGGATGCTCATCCTGGGACAGAGGAAAAATGGACCCTCCCGAATAAGAGGCCGCAGGAGAGTTGCAGAGTTAGCAAGGTGTTCTTTCTTTTTGTTCTTTTTTTTGGAGACAGTGTCTTGCTCTGTTTCTCCGGCTAGAGTGCGGTGGCATCATCGTAACTCACTGCAACCTCAAACTCCTGGGCTCAAGCGATGCTCCTGCCTCAGCCTCCCGAGTAGCTGGGACTACAGGCGCACACCACCATGCTCAGCTAATTTTTCTATGTTTAGTAGAGAAAGGGTCTCACTCTTGCTCGGGCTGGTCTCAAACTCCTGAGCTCAAGCAACCCTTCCACCTTGGCCTCCCAGAGTGTTGTGATTACAGGTGTGAGCCACCGCGCCTGGCCACAAGCTGTTCATACTGGGACCGGAGACAGGGTTGTGTGGTTTGTTAACGGTGAATTGAAGAGGGGAAGGGCAGGTTGGGGCCCAATCCAAATCTTGTTTTGGTTTGTTTTTTTGTTAGTTTTTCATTTCATTCAGCGTGTTAAATGACCACAGTGAAGCAGTAGCTATAACAAGTCTAATTCCCTGCTGGTCCCTCTGTGACGGCTCTTCTGAGTGGCAGGGTGAGCTGCCTTGTGTGTGTTTCTAAGAACTAAGCTAAATCCAAAGGGAAGATAAGATGTAGGTCAAAATATTTGACTTTTCAATTCATAGTTATGCTAGATTTATTGCTTTCAATAAACATTTAAATAAAGAACTTTCAAAGAATTCCTTAGATATTAAAATATTTTTCTTGGTTCTTGAGGCATTGTATTATTTATATAGAAAATATTTACTTACACCAAAAAAATAAACTACAGCAGTTGAAATCTTTAGAGGTTAAATTTGAATAAATGATATTGTTAACTGTGAGAAATATTTCTTGAGTGTGAATTCTAATAGGTGTCTTACTCTGAACAGTTATTCCCTGAAATATTTGATGACTTGGGGAGTCTGCAGTCTCCTGCCATTTCTCTTGGCTTAATGAAACTGACGTCCTGTCTGGAACGAGGCTTGGGTGATGTAAGTGTGAGAACTCCTTCACTACTGGTCCATTAAATTATCAGAATGAACATTAAACTGTTTTAGAGTTGCTCTCAGATTTCTTGATTTTAAGTATTTTTTTCCTATAAAATGCA